ATATATATCGCTGGCTGGTCCAGTAAACTGCGCTGACCCTTGAGAGTTCGACTTCGAGTTCGATGAATGTTTTAACATTTTTTGGATTGCGCAACAAAGTATGGTAGCAGTTCGGCTCAGTTCGTTGGCGGTTACACTGACCAAGGGCAACTGGCCAATTATATTCGCCGTGAAGAAATCTGGCAGTGGCAGTGGCGATTTTCAGACGGATTTTCGCTGACAAGTGGACCAAAAATGCGGTCTTTAATTAAACTGTTATCATATCTTGAGTGGAATTCGAAACATAAAGAGGCGGGAGGCATTACATAGTTGAGCTGGTATTTAATTTTTCAATTTAGATTAAATGAGTGCAGTTGAAGGCTTATTTTGAGATATATTTAAGAGCAGCTTTCGCTTTCATCTGGATTAATTTTAATTGGCAGAGTTCACGTTTGAAGTGGGTAGTTAAAAGTAGAAGTAAAAAAGATGTTAATCTTTATGTAATCCCTTAAAACTTTTTATAAATATATGGGTTTAATTTTGTTTAAAAGAAATACGTTTATGATTTATCTGCCTTATGTAAAGTCTAATGAAATTTGATGGAAAATACATTCAAAGAACTTCACATATATTTGTAAATTTTATTTCACAATTTACTAAATATGTGTATTTGTATTTAAGGAAACTTGCTTTCTAAATAAACATTAATTAGGAAAGGTTTTTAATGAATGTATGTAATTTAATCTAAACTCTATTAAATTTATTTTGTGTTTAATAGATTCCTCTTTTCCTTTTACCTTTAAGGCTTTATCATATTTTTCCTAAAGTATTTAATTAGTTAATACATTCTTCACATCTTCTTAGCTCAAGCAACCAAAACTAATTGCAAATTTAAATGACTTTTATGGCAGTTAAAAGGGAAATTTAGTAGGTAAATCGTGAGAGTCTTGGGGAAAATGTGTTTGGCCATGGTCACGTGTCTTATATAAAAGTGAAAGTGAGAATTGGGCAAGAGATATTTTTCAAGTGCTTTTATCTGAGTATTTTCAGCTCTTCAATTCTGATCTCTAAAATTAATAAAATTAATAAAATTATATAATAATTAAATGATTTTCTTTCCTCTTTTAGTGCTTGAGACCGAGGTGCTGCAACAACCAAAACTGAATGGACCCGCGTCCAGTTCTGGTGGAGATTATGACCCTTATGTCTGCGGCTTGAGTCCGGCCATGAAGCAGGTGGCCAAGGAGGAGCTGCATGAGGATGAGAACATTAGGCGTCAGGCTTTGGCCCAGTTCCGCGAGTGGATTGACAAACATCCACACATCCGCAAGTGCCGCACGGATGCAATTTTCCTGCTGCGTTTCCTGCGCACCAAGAAGTTCTCCGTGCCCGCTGCCTGCGAGATGCTGGAGCGTTATCTGACCATCCGGCAACTGTTCCCCCAGTGGTTCCAGAATCTGGACATCAATGATCCGGCCATCAACGAGATTTTCGAGAATGGATATCTGGTGCCTTTGCCACAGCGCGATGCCACAGGACGTCAGGTGCTCTTCTCCGTGGCTGCCAAGTTTGATCCCTACAAGGTGAGTTGAAAATTGGGAAAATTATAAGGAAAAGTTATTAATTAAATATCTAAAACTCCAGTTTACTTCGGTGCAAATGGCTCGCGTGCACAGTCTGATCTGCGAGGCTCTTTTAGATGATGAGGACTCTCAGGTGGCTGGATATGTGTACATCAACGATGAGAGTGGCATGAACATGGGCTTTGTTAGCCTCTGGTCACTGACCGACCTGCGCAGCATTGTCAAGTGCATTCAGAACTCCACGCCCATGCGACACAAGGAGACACACTTTGTCAATATTCCCCACTATGCCAATAGGATCATCGAGCTGGGTGTGTCCATGTTGAGCGATAAGCTCAAGAAGCGAATTATTGTGAGTTCAAAGACCAAGCTTAGTCAAGGATGTTACTTACTCTATTTCCCCCGCAGGTTCACAAGAATGTCGACATTCTGAAGACCAAGATCGATCCCGCCATCCTGCCCAAGGAGTACGGCGGCACCGTGCCCATCGCCGACATGATCGCCGAGTTCAAAGCGAAGCTTCTCAAGCGCCGGGCGGCTATCCTCGCCCTGGACGACATGCAGATTGAGATCACCAAGGATGCGGCCAACTTTGCTGGCAACGATATCGGTGATATTGATGCTGGTGTGGTGGGCAGCTTTAGGAAACTGGAGGTGGACTAGGCGCCATCTCAGCAAATACCCCATTCCCTTAGACTAAGCTAGGATAGGTCAGGATACCATTGAGACAGTCGACAAGACGCGCGGGCATGCACACTTCGTACCTATTTAAAAAAAAATCAAGCATCACCACTATATTGTATAACTACCAAGGTCTCGCCGGAGATTTCGATCCCGTCCAAAAACCCAGAGCCCTTAGACCAAAGTAGGTTTTTGGGAACTGTGGTTTTGAGTTCCCCCAGTTGTATATTCCATTCATGCGTTACGTTATGTTAAATGAATGTCTATTTAAATATATGTATATACTTATTCTTGTGAATTTGAATTACTTGAGAGCGTTTATCTTTGTAGTAAAAATTAATGGGAAGTAGTTTAAAAATATATAATGACTTGGTAATCTTGAGTTATAAGATTAATAAATTATCTCTCTGATGAGAGATATTCCAAACAGTGCTGAGCCATCATCACTAATGGTCACTTAAAACAATAAACTATTATATATCTAAACTCCTAAAAAGATTTAGATATTTTGGGGACCTATAAAAAGAGGTTTTCAATCTGCAAAAAATGTATCTACAGTATTTTCCCTATTGAACAGCTAAAACAATGGTAAGACCTAAGGGAAGTCAAAGGTTTTTGAAATAACTCTCTTATTGAATAAAAAATAATTTTATTATCTCTCTTTGGCAGTTGTTTTTTGATAAAAGCTACTCAAATATTGCTCATCGGTAAGAGATATGACGCATTGTTAACAGCGGAAGGAAACGACTTTGGCAGCACCGCACCTTAAAGGTACAGTAAATATTATTAAGAAATAACTCTGGGTCTTGAGATTAAAACCATAAATTTGCATTTTGTAAGTAAAAAGTTTTAAATTTACTCGTTTAATTCTTTAGATATACTCAATAAGAATAAAATAAAATAAGACCTGTTTTTAAAATATTTTTATTTTTGTACTCATTAATTTTAAAGACTTCGCAAAAATAATAATTCTTACCATAAACCTTAGAAATTATTTTCTTCATGATTTTGAGCTTTTTTTTGGTTGCCTTGAAGTATGCTATATTTATTATTTACAGTGTTTTCAAAATGATGTTCACAAAAGGAGCCTAAATTGTTTAAGGAAATTTCTTGAACAAAGTTTTTACTGTGTATAGTACATTCTTAAATATTTGACTAATTCAGACATCTGAGTGAAAAGTCCCGTAAGTGGGTGGCTTCTGCCTGGTTAGTTGTTAATTTCAAGAAGACCCTAGCTACCTGAGGCTCTCGCTGGCCCCGCTAAGAAGACCCAATTACAGTGTAACCGCTAATACTGGCATGACACTGCCGCATTAATTAGAGACTTCATTAAAGATTTGACAGCGCTATAGCGTTTTACACAAGTGCGAGCAAGACGACCATATGCCGCTCTAATGCATTAGAATAATGCATTAGCTACTTCATTGGAGCGATAATCGATAGATCTACATATTATATACTAGATACTCGATAACAAAATACGGGTTTAATGAAGAAAATTGTAATTGAAAAATGTATTAGCCAGCTCATTGACAGTATGGTCTCACAATGAGAATTTTATTTTTATATCATTTCGCTGGTTTTTTGAACTGAAAAAATATTAGAAAATTAGGAAAAATAATATGTTTTGCAATGGCAAGGTTCTTGCGCTGTAAATTTAATTAAAAATTTTTTTTTGGTAATAATTAAAAAAATTTTAAGCATCATAGGTTAAAAACATAAATTTAAAGGATTCTGCATTTATTTATGCAAGAATACTTCGACGAGGAATTCAGAAATTCATAGTAATACGCCGCGAATGGCGGTCGTTTTTTTGTTTACCTTTTACGGACGATGTGACCGTAGTCGTATTACCATAATAATCCAAGCAAATTTCAAGCCAAATTACACAAAATTACACATATAGTGGTCTCTTTCAAGGTTCTAATGAAGTAGCTAATTAATGAAAACTGCATTACTGTATCATATGGGCATAAGCGGTTAATTCCAACATGAGCTTAATGGAATATGAAAAAGAAGAAGAGACGTGCCACCGATCTATGTATGTACGTTTGTATGGATGTATGTAGGTTCTTCCCATGTTCAAAGTATCTGCTGCTTTGTTGCGCGATAACGGTGACACAAGCCGCGACGAGAGAATCTCAGTGCATTCTACGGTAGCAAGAAGAGAACAAAAGTTCTTTAGCTCCAAGTGTGAGCAAATATTACACCTAAGATAAAAATAATAGGTAAAGAATATTTCAGAATTTTATTTAATTTTATGTGAGGTTTTATTTAAATTTAATATAAATAAATTGATAACATAAAATTGATTATATTTTATATTTAATAAATAATTTATACCTTGTAGTTCCTAATGTAATTACAAATTTTGAGTCATTTTGCATTGCTTTTAAAATATAGTTACATATTTCTAATATTTTATTTAATATTTGGAAAATTAACTGAACACTATTTGTATTTTTAAAAGCTATATTAAAATGTTTTAAATTAATGAATGTATTTAATAATCGAATAAAGATACTTTATCTACAGATTTGTATCTTTCAAAGTTTTAAACTGTTCCCAGTGCTTTAACTCAGAAAATCTGTATAAATTTAATATCTGATATTATCTATATACTTCCAATTAGAATGTATCTTCAGTGCTATGATCTTGACCGCTGCTGTAGGCGGCGTGTGCGCGGCGAGCAACTGTGTGTCGGCATTATGATTGTACGCTTATTATTATGGCCGCATACGAAGTAATTTCCAAGTTACTTTTCAGTTGAGCGCTGGAACAGCTGGAGAACGTAGCGTCCAGATCGCCAGCAGCGTCTACTGTCTGATTCCGATTCGCGTTCTCATTCTCGTTCTCGATTTAAGTCGTTAATTGTTGCGCTAAGTGCTCTGCTTTGTGGACTGACCTCTCGAGCACTTGTTGACATCTCCACGTAGCGCGAGTTTGCAAAATTCTGTGAACTCCTTCTGCCCAAATATTCAAATTTATGTTCTTCGGTTGTAAGACTGTCTTGTAAATTGCATCTTTGTGTTTAGTGAGTGATCTTGGAGATTGTAAGCTGAACTTATGGACTTTTACATACATCTATAAGTTTGCCGCTCTCTGGCGTATCTAATTCCAATGGTCACGATTAGCAGTAACTGAGAGTGTGAATGACAGAGAGAGAGCTTTACAGCGAACAGCTGTTTGGGGAGCACGAGCTTTGGGGTTTATTGCTCTTTGCGTGAGGAGAACTGCACTTTCCAGAGAGAGCAAGAGATACCCAGAGCGGGGGAGAGCGAGTGATAGCGAGAGTGGGGCAAGTTTTTTATCAGCGCAAAGTACGATTCGTAGATAAGAAAAAGTCGGCGGCGGGTGTTAAGTCACTTACAAAATTTATCGCTTCTTGGCTGTGGGCACAATCGGATGGAAACCCCCAGGAAACCATTGCGACACGGAGTGAAGTAGAAACAGGAACAAACACCCACACTCATCATGAACAAGCTAAGGGCCCTGTTGCCCGGCCAACATTCTTCCACGAACGGGGCTTCCAGGCACTCGGTGACCCTGGAACCGGAGATTGGCTTCCAGATCACCATCGACAATCCCAAGAACAGTGATCAGTTCAAGAATTCCTCAGCTGTTCCGGAGCTGAACGTCCATTTGATTGCCGCCCGCCATCTGCCCTCGCTGTTCGGCTTCAAGATCGTCCAGGGCTATTTGATAAAGGTAAATTAGTGCTAATTAGTCATGATATTATGTGATGTGTGATATGGGTTGTATAGAACTGTGAAAATAGCGTATCTTACGCTGGTAAACAATCCTATAAATGACATAGATACAAAAGTATCTAAGCTGATTGGAAATGTATCTATAGATATAGGGTATACAAGATATACAAGGTGTCTAAAAGTGAGATGTTTTCTATTTCATATATAACGTTTACGGCATATTTTCGCTTTATTTGAAAATTGTAGAGAATTTAAATTTAAAATGTTTAGAATTTCGTATATAAAAACTTCCTTTATTAATATTTAAATTTGATAAAATTAACAAGACATAAAGTGAAGTTTCTCAAATATTTTTTAATCTATAGAAATTAATCACATTTTCAATTAGATTAGACTAAAAGTGGGTCATAAATGGTTACATGTAGCAGTGTAGTTTAATCAATTCAGTTATCAGTTAACTTATCTAAATACTACAATCTCAAAAACATTTAATTATAATTCAGTTTACACACTGAAGCATACCTTCATTAAAGTCTTTAAGAGCCTTTAATTATTTTTAATCAAGTAATTGAATCTAGAAAATCTGATTTCATTTTCAGTTTAAAGTAACTTTATCAATAAGATCTCATTCTTAATTTCAATGGAAATTTTCAATGAAAAATACAAGATAATATCCAACTATTTAGCAAAATATTTACAAAGGCATTTACATTTCATTTACTTGCCACCTCAGTTTATTTTCTCAGCGACCCTGAACATATTTCTCATTTATTTATTATTCCTTGTATCTATTTCTGATTTTTCCTATTACACAGGTAAAGCTATTTCCCGGAACGAAACGCATGGATAGTAGTATTCAGACCAACACGTGGCCAAAGTTCAATGAAAATTTCAAATTTCCCCTGGTGCCCGATATCAAGTATGTGTGATTATGAAGCGTTGCTTTGATTTTATTAAAATTTGTAATTAAATACTTGTAGATCTTCCATGAAGCATGTCGGTCGACGCTCTACCCCAACAAATGGCCAGGTTAACAGCTCTGATCCGGAGCCGGGAAATCTCTTCTCGGGACAGTTTGTGGTCTTTACGGTCTACGCCTTGCTGGAACTTCCGGCCGCAGTGAGTTGGTCATACAAATCTGCAAAACTTGGGTTAAATCCCTTTTTTACCAGAACTTCAATCGTTTTAATAAGACCTACCGCTCGCTGAAGGACAAGAGCACCAGCTTCGTTCAGCGTTTTGTGGATCCTACTGCGGGTACTGCAGATGCGGCTAAGACCGAGAATGGAGGAGGCAAGGCCAATAATGACCAGGTTAAAGGGAAGAAAAAGTCTGAGAATGCCAGAGATGCCATGCCACCACTGACTATCAGTGAATCACGGAGGAATATAGGTAAAATAATCGTAGTTTATATAAGAAAATATATTGTGGTCTTCAAATTTGTCATATTATTCTTGTCACATCATTTTCCAAATGATGTTGAAACAATCTCTTCATCACACTTGCACATAAAGTATCTGTATTTTTTTTGTGTTTTCCCCCCAAGGTTCCGTCACCTGCTACCTGGAACCCAAGCTCTTCGAGCGCAATAGCCGAACGGGGTGTTATTCGACGGAGGAGCTGTGGCTGCCCATTAAAGATATCACCACAACGGTGGCCAAGTCATCGCCGAGCAACAACAATGTGAGTAGGAAAACCCATGTACTGGTACCTCGTACCTGACCCAGACTATTGCTAAACAAGTTCACCCGAACCCGAACTCGGTGTTACAAAACACACGCGACATGGCTTTTTAAATGGTAATGGAGATGTGCGCTTTTAATTGTGCAAAGTGAAAGCTTCCCGGTTGGGGCGGGAAAACACAACACCGCCGCCCAGCTCGACAAAATGCAATTAAATGAAAGCAAAATTTTTAATTGCAACCGAACCGAAAAAAATTAATGTGCAAGTGAGTCAATATTGTTAGGGGAAATGATAAATTGAAAGCCAAGCGCATTCTTTTCCCCCGCCATATAAAGGGTGGCGGTGTTATATTGGTTCACTCTAGTTTAGGTCAATTATCTTATCAGTCGATGCGATTTCAATTTGTTGACATAGCCGATGAAAATATAGGTTTTTAAGCCAAAATGGCCAGCATATCGAGCATTAGATGTCTCAGAACCTTTTACGAAATCCAGATATTGATAAGAATACACGTTCCTCATTATTTTATAAAGTAGTAGGGGAAAATCTGCAATATATAGTACATATAAAGGCAAACATTTGGATTTTTCACTAAGGAATGTTTTAAAAGAGTAAGTCAATTAACAAAGTTTAATTAAAAACAAGATTCTAAAGATTCTCCTTGACAAACCTGAATAGATCTTATGAAAAATTAATCTTTATTTTTGTAAAAACAATTATATTAATTAATTTTAATATATTTCCCTTTATTTCAGCTTATAAACTCTGCAAAGGGTGTGGTAGAGCTGGCCCTTGAAGTGCGTGATCTCCAGGAATGTGAGTCTGCCGTCGGGGATCCCTCAACGCCACCTCCAACGCCCACAAGTCCAACCACTCAGCCAACTCTTACTCCAAGCTCAACTGCCCCGGTGAATAATTGGCAACGGATGACCGCCGAGGTGAAGCGAAAGATGGGAATGAGCAATGTAAGCAATTCCGATGCCGGCAGATACCTTCTCAGGCTGACCACCACGCGGATGCGGTGCTCCAACAAGGTCAAGGACGAACTAGAGGCCACGGCCAGCTCTGGGGTGTATGTGAAGACCACCGCCTTCGAGCATGGCATTTACATTGATGCCTGGAAGTCGCCCATCTTCTTTCCTTCGCTCTCTACCAAGTGGGACGATGGCTCCGGTGAGGGTACAATAGACATTCCGCTTCAGCGACTTGACCAGTTGGAGGATATTGTTGTTCGGATCACATTGGCCACCAAAAAGATGGGCAAGAAGATCGTCTTGGGCACCGTTATAGTGGGTGGCAATCAGGCGGGCGACACTGGCTCCGAGCAGATGCGACTCATCCGGGAATCCCCGCCAGGCCAGCGAGTAGCTGCCTGGCACTGCTACCACTAGGAGCTGCTGCTGCTCCTTGGCAATGTAAATAGCATCATCACCTTTAGCCCCTATGCATGCTGTATGTACGAGTATTTACTTTTCGATCGTTAAAAATATTAAATTTAATTGCGAATTGTAAAACGCTTCTTTGGGAAAGTTTGGCTCATTTCAACGTCGACGGCGTGTAACACGCGGTTTATTGCCAGCACTATAATGTGAGTGATCAGACAGAGAAAAATCTTATAATAAACTTGGGTTTGATATTACCCATTAAAGTATTAGTATTACAAAACAAACTCCAAAATAAATATATTTTTAAAGAGATTAAAAGTAATGAAATTCAGTTCTGGTTATATTTTTTAAATCTGTAGATTTGGTATGTATAGAAAATGGTAGGGTAAAATGATGAACGAAGTAAGAACTTGTTTCTAATTCATGAAATAGGTCATTTAATATATTTAATTGATATTATTTATCTTTAATTTTATTCATTCAAAATAAGCAGGTATGCCAGGCACTCTTTAAATATTTAACAAATTATTAAGGTGTCCGAAAGTGTGTTATAAAATCTGTAGATTTTATTTTAAAAGGCTTATCATTATTTATATACATTTATATATATTCCACCACGATTTCTTTGGAAATATATCTGAAGTTTTATAAATTATTTAATAAAATAAAAACTTGACACAAATCTCTTTATTTAATAAGGATTCTAAAGTTAATTATTCTTTCATATTTAATCCAATATAAATTTTTTTCAATATTTTTACCTGATAAATATATAAATTTCACCTTATTTTCACTTTCAACTAAAAATTTCCCACTTTTTCAAGTCCTCTATTTTTTTCTCTGTGCATCAGCACCTTCGCTTCGTTTGGCAATTCGCAGAAATGCTGCCTGGGATTTTTGCAGCGATCCATTGTACGCGTTTTTCACGCAGTTCCAGTCCACTGTGCACGGCCAACATGTGTGTGGAAAAGTCAACGGCGAACGCGACGTTTTTTTTTCACTTCAGCTCGCCGCGGAGCGTTGGCGTTGCGCTCAGTTCTCGAGAAGACGTCGGTTGGATCGGATCGGATCGGATCCGAGCGGAACGGAACAGTACTACGGAACGGATATATCTTTTTTTTCGCGGCAATCGTGCAGCGGAGTTGGCGAGGCGACATCCGACGGATGGCCATACGTGCTGTCGGGGTTTATGCTTCTGTGCTTCGTCTGGTTCTCCAATGTAAAAATAAAATTGCTCCAATATGTGCGCGCAAAACGGCTTTTGAAATATTTTCAATCTCAAAAAGAAAAAAAAGAAAAACCTCCCAGGTAATTGCTGTGCAAAGTTACGCTAAACGCTAATCGCTTAACCGCTGACAGTTCAATATTAGAGCCATAAAGTCAAACAAATGGGCCAGTTGTCCGTGTTAACATGCTAAGTGCGTCGGATCGTGTGGATTAGTTCTCTGTCCCAACTGCTCCAAGTCGCCAATCGAACTGCAGCTGAAGGAGACGACGATGGTGCCAAGTGATAAATGGAATAAAAAATGTTTCATTCATGAAAACAATCTGCGTTCGCATACGCAGATGCATTTGGATGCGGTTCATACAGATGCAGCCAGAAGAATAGGAAAAAGATCAATAATTAAAGGGGATTTACTTTTAGATAATGCAGTCAAAATAATAGGATGAAGATCAATAATTAAAGCAAAATTATTTTTAGATCAAATTTGCAATAAATCTGTTTAGAAAAGTTATTTTCTTAGGCTTGTTTTGCTGTAATTAATTATAGTAGGTTTGAGATCTTATTTATTGCAAAAATGTTATTTTTGAAAGAAAACAATTCCTGTGAAATATTTGATGGACTTTGAAATAAATAATTTTGATGCTGAAATATTTGAAACATAATTAGGGAAATATTTTGATTAGGATTTTTCAGAACTAATTAAAATCAAATCTCTGCGGTTTTTTATTGAGTGTTTAAATATAGAAGAATGAATCATAATTAAATGAGACCTCTTTAATTTTGTGATATTATAATTAAAATGAGGCTGTACATTATGTATTAAAAAACTAATATTGGGGCATATTTTTAACAACATTTTTTAAGTCAATAATTATTTGAATATTTTTAGAATTTCTAATAAAATAGTAATGTCAAAAACAAATTTCTGTTATTAAGTTCTTTACTTATTAGAAAGTATTACATATTCATCTTTTTTTCAATATAAATCAATGATTAATAATCAATTGATCCTAATTGATGGTTTCATTAAACGATTTTCTGATAAAATGAAGAGGACTTGTTGTAAATATGATTTTGTATTCTAATATCTCCAAGTAAAAGTTCACATATATTTTCTACATTAATTAAATTCTCTTAATCTTAAATTTAAAAAAATCTCCGCCTATTATTTTGACTCCAACTGTATCTTCTCACATCTGTGTTTAAAATGCATTTAATTCATCTGTGGAAAATTGGGTGTTCTGGCGGTGGGGCGGCGGGGAAGTGGATGTGGGATTCATGGATCGCGGATGCAGGGCTGGGAGATGTGTTGGAAAATTGGGATGTGGTGCTGTTTTTTTTTCTTTTTTTTTTTGAGGAGGCATATCGTCGACGGCGGCATCTTTGCGATGCCATCGATGACGATGAATTTGCGGCGCGGCGATGTGTGTAAATGAGTTATTTCCGACACTTCCGCTAATACTTTTAATGCTCTAGTGGCCGATGCAAAGTCGCAGAGCGAATCTAATGCGTGGCCGATTACAAAAGGCTGACTAATAAATTAAGCCAGCCCGAATCCGTAGACAATACCGCAAAGCCCAAAATACTGCCCACGAACTGCCCACTTAGGCGGCCTGAGAAAAAAAAAGTAAATAAAAACAACAAGCGACAAACAAACCCGAAGGCAGCGATTTGATTCGATTTTTTTTTAGTAGCTGGTCACGTCATTAAAATTGCATTTCGTTAAACGAGCCCGCGGACATGCAACACACACAGAGAGACAGTTGATTGGCCATACCAGACATCGTGGCTGCTAGCCGGCCAGCAAGCCAAAAGAAAAATAAATCAGCCAGCAGGTACACAAGGAAAAATTACCCAAAAATTAATTGTCATAATTAGTCTTTGTTCTCGTACACAGAAAATATATGCAAGGTGATGTTACACATTATTTAATCTCATTTTCAAAGCAAATATGACCTTAGGTGGGATTTTTGTTTATTAAATGCAATTGGCTTTACCTTTTAATGTCTTATCTTGTGGGGAGATAATTATGAGTAACTTTCATTGAAATAAATATTATTTAAATATTATATAATCCCTTGTTATCTTGTTGCTCCGAAAGCAACATGACCTTAGGGGGATGCTTACATTGTATGAATTGACTTTATTAATAGCCTTTACGTGATAACAGTTGCAGTGAGGCCTTTAGTAACATTATAAATAAATTTGTGTGTAAAAAAAAATATTTATTTAAATATTTTTTATGATATTTACAAAGAGCTTTATGCGAAAATTATTGTTTTAAGAAAGTTTTCTAGACCAAAAATATGGAAATTAATATCGTAAAAGAAGAAATTGAAGACTTGTTCTTAGGACTTCTGATAATGAGTTTGATTTCATTTAGAATATGTTATAGGTTCTACACCAGATTTACATTAGTCAAATTTATTTCTTAAGAGAAAGTTCTAAAGATAAATTGTTTATTACCTAATCTCAAATGACTTCAAAACTCCCTTAATTAATAACATTTTCTCTCGGTGTGCTGAGCTCTAGTCTCGAAATGCGGCTGGCCAAATCCAAATTTGTACATTTTCATTCATAAAAAATCGCGGCGGTCTACGCAGCAGCAATTTGGGATCAAAAAATAAAAATAAGTTAAAAAAAGACCGACCACATGCCGAGCGGGCGTGGGCAGTGGGTGGTTGAGGCTGGATGCTGGAGTGGGTGGCACATCCACCTTATGGGCAGAACAGGTAAACAAACACATTTATGAGTACCCTTACTCACCTGGGAGGAATTTGATAAACGGACACTCGATATTCTTGGCCATCTGGGAAATATATATATATATTATTTGGCATTTATGAGACAGCGCGCACTTATGACGCCGGCTCTCGACCCCGTCATACATAGTTGAGAAGCCGAATCGCACTTTGTCAAGGTAAAGCGCTATGGAGGCGGGACTACTGCGGTTTGTTTACACGGAGATCTCATGGAGATCCGGGGAATTTGGGGGATCGGTGATCGCAGTTGGCTGAAGATGGATCCGGAGACGGAGACTGGGACTGAGGTTGTTGCTGCTCTGTTTGCTATGCGGACGCATCGCGTTCTAATTTAAGAATCAGCGTCGCCCGAAGTACACACAAATCGTACACAAATATATTGTTTGAACAATGGGGTGGACATATCTTCAGGGTTTTCAACACCGAGCTAGATTTTCAGATAATTAAGCTAAAAGAAAAGGGATCAATTAACACAGGAAGCTAATACGACATGGTAGTCAATAAAAATAATTGAAAATTTAATCTTAGAACTCCTAGAATATATATATTTTTTATTTTTCACCACATCATTTTAATTAAAATTAACAAATCAAATAAAGTAAATGTCATTGAAGCCGTAAGAGGTGAAAAATATTTCCTTACAATAAAAACCAACTAATTTAAATTTTTAGAAATTTTATTTGGAGACTTCTAAGAACTTTTCTGGTATGACTTGTTCTCCTATATTGTTCTTATTTTAAAAACGAAATACATTAAAAAACTATAAAATGTTTATCAATATTTTGCTTTAAAGCTGAATATTTTATAGATTTCTCTTCAGATCATTTTATGAGCTTTATCAGCAATAATAAAAGTGGGAATAGCTTTCCCAACAAATAAGAATTTTCAAGTCTATTTAAAATTCTGTAAACACAAACTTGAAATATGAGATTTCCTAAAAAATATTTTGATAAATAAGCAGAAGCTGAAAAGATATGGTTTTTTGGGAAATAATGTTTATTTTTAAAGTCAAGATAATAAAAAAAAAAAAAACTACAAATAAGGGAGAGAAATCAATCTCAATTAATAAGAACTTTATCAATCATTTGGTTTAAGCTGAAATTATTGGTTCATTTTTTTTTAATGTATAAATTTATAAATTTAATATAAATTAGGGTTAGCTTTTTATTTTAATAGAAACATATTTATTTTTATTAGTTTCTAACTGTTATCTATAAGTTTTTATAAACTTTTCCTGTCCCAAATTTCCTGTATTTTTATTTACCCCAGTGCAATGCCAGATAAAGTTCTACGTTTATGTTTAAACGTACTGCGCATCAGCATCCCCCGAGTGTTATCTTCACAAGCATTCCGGATCTCTTCAAACATAATACCGGGAGATCTTCTATAAATCATCTTTCTGTTGTGTTTACCATCCCGCTGGTGGGCGGGGGTGATGTCACAAACATTCGGCGGAGAAATGTCCGCCTCGATATATAAATCATGTGTCGTCAGGTGTGTTAAAATAGTTTCTAGTGGTTTTTCCATTTTTTGTTTTTTATTTAATTTGTTTGTGGAATTTTATATCCATCAAACCGGCGAAAATATTCTTTTTCAAGTAGTGCGGGTTACCCAATATCACATTTGGCTGGGGATGCTTAAAAAACACAATATATATTTGCGCAGAAATAATTCACAAAGAATGATAGGTAGTACTTGGTTGAGTTGGGATATTGAACCGATTTTATTGGAATTTAGCGCGGAATATAAATGGCCAATTTGCGGAAACCTGGTCAGAGGATGGCAGTTATCGAATTTGGTCATTGGGAATAACCAGAATTGCAAATGTGGGAGCGCGAACTGGATCGTGCAATGCATTTTACTTGCAGCTTGTTTCCAGCCCCATCTGACCTTATACGATTGGAGGGGTGGGCAGTTTGGATGTTTGCGAATCTGGAACTGGCTCAGATTTACACTGGGAACAAATTAACAAGAGTTTGAAATTAATATTATAATATTTATATAATATATTCTTTAAGTAAAGAAGGATTTAGGAATTGACGAAAATATATATGAATGAAACATAAAATTAGAATGACTCTGGGGTGAATATTTAAATAATTGTACAATTTTTACTGCCAGTAAAGAAATGATTTTATTTATAATTTTGTTTATTTATGTATAATTTACTATTCAATTTCAATTGACATATATATTAGAAGTCGAATTTTGTTGTTAAAAACAACAAACTTTAAAAGGTTTTCATGAAAAAGAATTTTTGTTACTACGAAATATTTATCTTATTTTCAAAATCTTCGTTTTCAAAAAATAACTCTTTTAAACTAATTATATTTTGGCCTACAAGATAAACCATTTTCTTCCCTTAAGATAGTTTAATCTCAGTATTTTTTTTGCAGTGCAATCCTGACGTAAGTCCAAAGTACGCGTACTTGTGCTCCAGTGCTCGGTGCCCAGTCTCTGGCTCTGTTAGTACTTAAAATTCCTCAGTGCAGTTCCGAATGGGTGGAATAGTGGCAGACCTTTTATACGAAGACCCACTTATGCAGAGGCACACAGGGCAGCATCAAAAGCACTCGGCAATCCCGACAAAAAAAATACTCATAGTTTATCTTTATGTTTCCAATTTTCCTTCTCTGTTTCTAATTACATGTACCGAGTATATAGCTAATTAATTTCACTTTTTTTCTCCCTATTTATATATTTATATGAATATATTCTGCCCACGCTTTTGATCGCTTTGGGCTAAGGTCTCAGACAAGTTCAAATATTTGCTTTGTAGTTGGCAAAAGGCGGCCGCAGAGATAGGGAGCCGGCGGGAGCACAGATTCACCAGATTCACCCGATTCAGTTTCGGATTCACCATAGGCATAGCGGCATCGGCATTGGCATCGTTTAATTGTGCAGTGCGTGGGGGGGCACTATACTCTTTTATGCTTTTGCCGGATTTTACTTTGACGCAAATGAGTCGCTTAGTCAGGGCAAATTGGGCACTCAGAGACATGGCAGACGAGCGCCGTTTAACGCACAAGTACAGGTTCAAGTACGTCGGCTTTTGTGGGTGTCATTATATAATTTAATTAGCCTATCCCAAAAAAATGAAGTGGATTTTTAAATGGTAGCTGATGGCGTAATGCTCATAGAGGAGTCTACATATATGTGTACTACATACATACATAATTATGCAACGGGATGATTGTCAATTTTATAATTTTTGATTAACAAGAATTTTTTGATAAATAAGGAACTATACTTTTTTTGATGGGCTAGATATAGATAGCTTTTCTTATATTTATGTTCTGACATTGCATACATATTGCAATCCCTTAAAGTTAACTTCTATTTATAATACCTGAATTCTAGAATTCCCTAAACAACAGACAATCCCAAGGCTAACCCCTTTGAGGTTTCTGGAACGCCCAAAAATAATCAGTTCACTGAAACCATTGCCCCAACCTCAGCACACATATTAATGTTATTTTATTTCTATTTACAGTGCGTTTTGTCAGGGTCTTTGGATTCACGGATTTGGATTTGTAACGCTGGCGTGGTATCGGTATTATTATTGAACGGATTTCGAAGCAGTTGAGCATGAAAGTGGTGTGCTTGATATTCGAATTCCTGACGGTGGTCCAACTGCTGGCTGGAGCTCAGGTGAGTGCTACTGGGGTTGATTGGCGGAACACCCACTTGTCGGAATCGAAATCTGAATCCAAATTCAAATCGAAATCGAAATCGCATTACGCATTACGTCAACCCGAAACGATTTGATTGGGAACCGCGAACGCAAAAGCCAACTATTTACGAATGCAAGGTCAATTACCGCGTCCAAATTAGTCGCACTCTCGTTTCTCCATTGTTTGGCATCGGGGTTCTCCCCTAATATATATCTCATATATATACATATATCGAAATCGTGTCCGGAACGTTATGGCTCTCCTTGAGCTTGAGGTGCAGAGTGGCGCTCTGCTCGTATTTCCGCATGATTTGATGGGAATGTTTCGGTTTTCCATTTTAAGAATTTTCCGATTTGCCATGACCTACGTCTGGTTTATCCACTGGGGCATCGATCGGCATCCGATTTGTGTGCGTTTTGTTTGATTTATTGGCACCTCATCAACAGTCTGTAAAGTTTGGTCATTTAAATAATTCAAATACGCATTTAATTTAGCTAAAACGGGTAATAAAAAACATAACCAGCTGAGGCTGATTTTTAGCTTCCTGTTTTATATTCAAATGATTAGTTAAAAGAATTTTGTAGTCGCATAAATGAACTAATTCTTTAGTTGTTGGAATACCAAACACGAGTACCTTACCGGTTATGGTTTTGTTTAGGTAAAGGCGAGATTTTAAGAGCGACGAGAGTCGTTGAACTAATAAAACTTTTGGGAGTTGCTCGTTAATGGTATTTCTCCTTTTAAGGTCGGATTTAAAAACTGGAACCTGGCGAGCAGGTACTAAAATTGAATGAAATACTCTCTTGAATAGTTAGAAAACTTTAAGAACCAGTCTTTCGAAGGGTTTTAGGATTAGAAGGGATAAAATATCTATATTTATCCAGCTAATCAGTAAAAAATAGGGGCAAACAATGATGTTACGGAAAGTATTTCATGATCGTAGTCCAAGGAAATATATATCCATATGTACTATGGTGCAAATATGCAACATTTTATCGTTTCACAACTTGGCACATTTACTACTTGATTGAGTCACAGCTCTCAGCTCAAATGCACTCGCACATGGTTATGCCTGCGAAAATGTCCAGTTTAATGGAGTTTTTGCAGCTGTAGGGCGTTGGTGAAGAGGTTGCTCCGCTCCTCGGCTGAAAGGCGAAGCCTATTTTAGACTGGGACGCGGATGCAGGGATCCGCCGGATCGGTCGGCGAAAAGCGTGAGTTATTTATAGCAGCAACGGCGGCGTCGCGTCGCGTCGCCTGCATTTGGAACTGGAGCTGGGACCTGGTATACGCCATGGTACTTTCCTCGGGGATCACAATGCGAACGCAGCGGCCTCAGACACGACGAATCTGTCGAGAGCAATGACACTTCAAATAAAAAGCGGCGACATGTCTGATTTATGTTGGATGTCTGAGCAGACTCCACAGCTCCTTGAATCCGAACTGCAAAGGGCGCAGATCGCGTTTCAACTCCACTCCAAGCGACCCATAAAATAGGGTAACACAAAACCCAATCTTATGACCACTTCCTTGATTTTTCTTTCTCAGTGTGGACACGTCCAGGAGGCGAAGAGGTCAATAAATGCCGAAATACGGGACGCGATGGGTCACCAACGGCATCACCATCACAATAATCATCATCCTTCGTATCATGGCTCTCACTGGGTGAATGGTCACCGAGTGCACCGCATGCGGATGCCGCAGCATCAGCGCTGGAGCGGACGCAGGCGCTCCATTAGCCACCACCAGCCCTTCAGCCGGTGGTCACAGTGGACCACCTGCGATGCGGACTGCATCCGGCGGCGGGAGCGATTCTGCAAGGTGAAGCGCAAGTGCGGACACACCAAGCATGTGGAGCAGAGCAAGTGCCGGCAGTGAGTGTTTATTTATTGCCTATCTCTAACTTTAAATAAATATATTTAGGTTACAAGATTACTAAAAAAATGGAGAAGAAAATAATAAAAAGCGTGCAAAATATTGATATCAAAATTATAAAATCTAATACTTTTTTTACTTATTTAATTTGGAACTTTGAGTATTATTAATTATTATTAATTAGTAAATTAATAAGTAAATTATTTGAAATTATTTATCAGAAAATTCATTTTTCAAATTTTTATATTTTATAAATTTTAATTTTGTAATAAACCAATTTAATTTTTAAAGCTCTAAAAACAAAACTTTTACTCATTTAAAAAAAAAAACAATTTCCCGCAAAATATGGCACAAAAGTACACATGCATTTATGAGTATCTCTATTTTTAGTGCTATTTTCCACAAATGATAATTACATGCAGCTTGTTTTTAGGCCATATTTTTTTTAGTCTGCTTATTTCTAAAGTGTTCTAATTTAAGCAAAGTATCTCATTTCATTGGGAACCAAGCCCATTCTTTTTTTATATACCAAATTGTACTACTTTTACTTCTTGAGAATTTAAAAAATATATGTTATTGTTTTACAGTTGCCATCCTGCACCTCCTATTCAATGGCAGCCACCGGTGGTGGTGCACCAGGAGCACACCCGCGATATTAGCCATCCACAGCCACTGCCACCACCGCCGCAACCGTCCATAATTATTAATGCAGCGGCTGCGGCCTCAAGTGGTCCAACTGTGGATTATCGGCATACTGAATACAGGCCACCTCCAGCACCACTGGCACCTCTGGCACTCCCAGCTCCTGTAGCTCCTGTAGCTGCCTATCCAACAAATCCTCCAGTTCTTTATACAAATCCACCTCCGACTCCTTATCCAACTCACCCTCCTATTACCTACCCAACTCATCCACCAACGCCTTATCCAACGCCTTATCCAACTCCCCATCCAACTCCCCCTCCACTGCCACCTATTCCGCCAAGAGAACCCGTTGAAACGTTTCCTAAGGCTCCACGATATCCCGCCAAAGATGTCTACAGCGAGGAGGATTCTGGGGAGGATACAGAACCGGTACCAGAACCCGATGAAGACTTTATTAACTCCGATGAGCAGGGTGACTTCTTTGTTTTGAAGCACCATCGTCACAGGAGACGTAAGAATCATAGAAAGAAGTTCCATAGAGGACCTCCAAAACCAGACTACGATGACGATGACTTTGTGGATTTCGCGGAAAGAAAGTCCTTGACTACGAAGAATATAATCGAAGATAGCAGCGTAGAGGGAGACGTCTTCCAGTATGAGGATTTCGATTTGGAACCGGACACTATTTACCCTGATTCCGAGGAATCGGACACGGAATTCCGGAATATCAGTTGGGTGCAGCCTCCCAAGGATGGACTCGTTTTGCGGCGACGACGCATCTACTCCAAGTGGAGTCGATGGACCCGGTGTTCGCCCAAGTGCACCACCAGAAGATATAAGTAAGGGACAATAAAGATTATCCATGATATATTGATCAAATTCGAATCTCTGATCTTCAGAAAATGCCGCATTAACGATCAGTGCGGACGAGAGGTTCTCCGGGAGATTGCCTACTGCTACACGGAGGGCAGCTTCTGCCAGCAATGGTTGCAGACACAGTTCCAGAAGACGCCCGCCTTTGAGACCAGGCCAGGCTCTGGCTCACCGGCCAACGCCATGCGGCGAATGCAATCGGTGCAGCCAGAGGAGTCCATCAACGATCTGAACTACATAATGGCGGGCAAGGGCTACCGGGGACCGGAGTACACACCAATGAAGCTTACCTGCGGTATTGTGCGCTCCTCGGGACGCAGGAGCATGTCCAACATGCTGAAGATCATCGGAGGACGGGCTTCGCGCAAGGGTGAGTGGCCGTGGCAAGTGGCCATTTTGAATCGCTTCAAGGAGGCCTTCTGCGGCGGAACACTGATAGCTCCACGATGGGTCCTAACAGCAGCCCATTGTGTAAGGAGAGTGCTTTATGTTCGAATAGGTGAGGAGTTTTTTTTTTGGGAAATATCATCCTGTGGAATGATTTATTTATAAATATTATAATCTACATCAATACAGGAGAACATAATTTGGATTACGAGGACGGCACTGAAGTGCAACTGAGGGTAATGAAGAGCTTTATACACCCCAACTTTGATAAGCGAACCGTGGATAGCGATGTGGCACTGCTTAGGTGAGTGATAACTTTAAGAAACTAAAAGGTTTTATTATATTCTGAATCTATCTTGATCAATTTTAATTTAAACCAAAAAAGGGCTTAATTTTGATCGTAATGTAAGAATATCATTTTAGAATGCAGCGATTTGTTGCCTACTTCTCAGCTGTTTCCGACAGGAAAAAAACAAATAACCCACAAATATCTCTCCTTTTCCAGGTTACCCAAGCCGGTCAATGCCACCAACTGGATTGGATACTCCTGCCTGCCGCAGCCTTTTCAGGCTCTGCCCAAGAATGTGGATTGCACGGTTATTGGTTGGGGCAAGCGTCGGAATCGAGATGCCACCGGAACCAGTGTGCTCCACAAGGCCACCGTGCCCATAATTCCCATGAACAATTGCCGGAAAGTGTACTACGACTACACCATTACCAAGGTAATAGAAAATGATATTAAGAAGGAACTGTTACTTATTAAAAAATGATTTTCCTTATAGAACATGTTCTGTGCGGGCCATAAAAAGGGTCACATCGACACCTGTGCCGGAGACTCGGGTGGCCCACTTTTGTGTCGTGACACCACGAAGCCCAACCATCCGTGGACCATCTTTGGCATCACCTCATTCGGCGATGGATGTGCCCAAAAGAATAAGTTTGGCATCTATGCCAAGGTGTCCAACTATGTGGACTGGGTGTGGTCGGTGGTCAATTGCAATGGCAACTGCAAGATGCAGTAGCTCCTTGGGCTGGGGTGGGTACTTGGTAGTGGCGGACTCGAGTCCGTTTTAAGTTGCAGAGGCTGTGAAAATAAAAACTAATATATATATACACTCTAAGTGTCCGATCACAATTCATGATGTGCTCATTATTACGATCCTAAAGTTAGATAACTAGAAGTTATAAGGATTTAGAGAACAAAGTTGGATTTAAATGTAGACAAGAGCCAAATATTTATATGTAATTAAATCCCTGAAAGACACCCACTAATTTCTGATGTTCTTTGGTGTTATCTTTATATAATGTTTTTTGCAATATCCTTTTTATGTATATAATTAAACTTTGTTACTATAAATTATGATAAAATAAATTCTCAAAGTGTTAGAGTTATCTTAAGCCCAAACTCAAATTTGAGATTAAAGAAGGAATAATTAATAGAAACCCAACTAGTTGAAACCCCCTTGTTTTCACTCATATTAAAATATTAAATAGTATATTTAGTTGGCAGCAATAATAACCAGAGCGTTCTTAGTTTAACTTTCTTACTAGGTTCTATTAAAAATAAGATAGATGGATCTATTGAGCGGTTTTATCCTTTAAGAATCAGCCGAAGAAATGATTATTTGCGAATTTTGATAAAAACTGAATGCTAGTTACATCTAATGTAAATAATACAAACTTAGCACCTTCTAATCTTACGCTTACGTCCTGAAAATTAACTACTTTCTCTTAAAAATATTGAAAATAATTTCTTAATAAATTAAAGCCAAGAATACTCAAATAAACACCAACAAACCTTTCCCTAAAATGTATAGAATAAATCCAGATATAATCGAAATAGGCAGTCTTGCTGGGCCTACCAAAGATACACACACAGAAATGTACTTTTACTTATTAGTTTTTTATATTATTGGTGTTAAATGCTGCACAGTTTTGCTTCCACAATAAAACTATTTAACGTGATCCCTAAACACTTTCATTTCTCTTTTTTTTTTACCTACTACGAGTACACACATTGGATTATAAAAACAAACGATCACAAGAGAGAGGTGAGTGCCTAGGCACTTGCACATGCAAATAATGTATCCGTATAAAAAACATCTTTTCGTATAAAGAACTACAGGACAGTTGTGTCTACCGATCGCCTAGGACGTAGTGCAGGACCACAGATGACAGTAGAATCAGCAGGGCCACCGCAATGCCCAGCATGTAGAGGCTGCGCGATAACTCTGGCTTTGGCATCGAACTGAGCAGAGTCCGGGAATCGTCTGTGCGATCAACGCCGGCATTGGCGCCATTGGTAAAGTTCGAGTCATCCGGCAGTCCCTCGGCCTCTACGGAAATGGTTTCTGGGTCCAGTTCCACATCTAGGATTTGTTTGGCTTGGGCCACCGCCACCGTGGGGGCTTCTCCACGGAACAGATATTCAGAGAACTGAACTGTGGCTCCGGTAGATGGGGTTTCCGTGGGTAGGTTGAAAAATACCCTTCTCGGGGGTTCGCTTACGTACAAGGCTTCGTTGTTTACATACGGATCCGTGAGGCCATCGCAGTAAACCTGAATACGTGTGATGAGGGAGCGCAGCACGTCGTCCCGCAGGAAACGCTTCACATCCGCTATACTGTTCCGCGGACTGCAGAAGACCTTCGACGCAATGATGCCGCTCATGCGGAGTGTGCCTTGGAATTCCCGCACCTTGATGTCCGACGGTTTGCTCAGCTGGCACTTTACCGGGAGCACTATGCTCGCCCGAATGGAGTCACTGATAATCCCTGTATCTGAGGCCAGCTCTGGAAGGGAGCCCGAGGCAGTGCTGCCCGCTGAGACGGACCCACCACCACCAGTCGATGAGGGCTTGTTTAGCTTGTCCGCTTTGGTGCGTTTCTTTTTAATGTAGGCCTGCAGATCGATGGTGTCCTCGACTATCTCGTTCTGCAGGAACACCTCGCTGGCCAGTAGATTCCTGCGCACCGCCTTAATAATGTTCTGAAACTGATCCTCAATGTTTACCCGTCGCGACGCATCCAGTATGGGCAGGACATCGTCCAGGTCGTAGGTGCTCTCTAGCTGAATCCATTCAAAGGGCTTGTCCACAAACCTGTGATCCATGTTGGAAAAAGTGCCGCCACTATGTTGGGAACGAAAAACAAGAATTAGTAGTGGCAAAAAGAGGCTAAAAATACAATCAAAACTACCATTTAATAACAAGAACAATCCGAAAGGATATTTACTAAACACATAAAATGCATTCCGAGAAATGGGAAACATAGGAAAGGACGAGGGAAGTAATTAAGTGATTTAATAACATTAAACATTAACTATAGTTTAGGGAAATACTTCTCAAACATTGTTAGTTACCATATGATGCATTTTATGTTTGCCGTAAAGTACGTTTTTTTGCAATGTCTAAATGTTTTACAAATTTGTAAGCAATTGGTATTGTTTGTTTTGGTGAAAAGAGAGAATACGTAGAGTGAGTTTTCAGACCCGTACCCATAACTGCAATCAAAGATTTAAGGATCTAAGCAATACTCACTTGCCGTAGCTGTAGTTCTTGCAGAGCACCTTCTTGTCGACCAGCGAATACGCAAGGAATACGAAATCAGTCTGTGCAATGTCGGTGGTGTACACACCAAAGGAGCTGTTGCTTTTCAGGAGCAAGCTGGTTGGGGGAAGGAAATTGTTTTATTTTATTATAAAATGTAAAAGATTATACTTTTTGGTAAAGATACTCACTCGTATATGTCCGAGAACAGCTTTTTGGCATTCTTAAAATCGTCGCTTTTCTCATTTGAAACATCGGGACTTGAAGAAGATACAAAAATTCCTGTAAAGAAGAGAGGTTTTTAGTGAATATGATACAAATTCTTTAGAATAAAGTGAATCCTTTTCATTAAAACTTAAATAAATTAATAGTCTCTAAAAGAATATTACTTAGGATTAATAAATAAATGTGTAATTTAAATGAGAAAGCAAAAGTTTAATTGTGGGAACCATTTTTTGCCTCTAAAATATAGTTAATTGAGACTATATAGACTTATAAATCATATTATTATAGAAAATATAAATAATTAAAGTCCTTTTCGGTCTTTTAATTCAAAAAGTAAAGCCTTCAAAATGTCCGATTAATAACTTTAAGCTTTAGGACTAAACCGTTATTTATACAAACTACACTGAATAAAGGTATTTTACTGCATTATTGAGAACTGAATAAAGATGACTAACATTTACTACCTAGTAGAATATATATATATATAAACTGCATAAGTTCAAAAACCCCACCTACTTCTCTATTTGCACATTACATATATCTTTATCTTTCCCTGGACTATGAAACCCATATCTATTCGCGATACTATCTGGGGTCGCAGGGAAATCTATATGTAAAATAGTAATATAAAACCCTGCAGCTGCCCACACGCAACCAAAGGCGAACCCAAAACCCACCGATGACGTCAAAGGAGCCGGGACACATTTTGCTGGCGCTCAGCCACTGTGAGGCCAACGCCTGTGCGTTGATATCGCCGATGGTAAGGCGTACATCGGTCAGGTCCTCCAGGTCGGCGTCCTCTTCGTTATTCCGGGCCAAGTGCACCACCACGCTCTTGCTGAGGTCTGCTTGCTGCCGATTTAGATACAGATTGAATGGATATATGTGTCGTTAGAGAGTGCTTGTAGATCTGGGGGGGTACAGGGAGCTCCAAACAAATCTACGTGGCGGAAATCCCCACTTACATGGCCCACAATGATGCCGTACGAGAACTGGTTCTCCTGTGCGCATTTCTCCAGGTACACCTCGTCCGCTTTGCTCAGTAGCACTGTGCGCATTTTGAATGCCTTCTTTTTCGCCTTAATTTAATGTTAACTAAATTCGTTCGACCAAAACGAACAATTTGTCAATTTTGTGGACTAGTGTGGCCGTTTCTGAGCGGCTATATTTAGGGTCACGTAAACAAGCTATCGAAGGGGCACAGTTTTCTTATCGATACTTATCGGTGCCTCTTGAGCATCTCTAGAAAAACCGTTGGATTTGAACAGTATTTTGAGAATTTATTAAATTTTAAATTTGCATTAAATACTCAGATCAATAATGTCATTGGGTTTAAGCAAACCAACATGAATTTGTAGCATTTGAATTTAAGCTTCTCTTCTTAAAATATTAAATTTACCTTTCAACATATTAATTTATAGGAATTTTATCTACTTCATTAAGCTGAATAATAATTTCAGAGTCCACTCTAAAAGTTAAAATTAAAAATAAGCTTTCTCTTTTGAATCTTTGTTCTAAATTCTTAACAGGTAAAAAAAGGAGGATTATGATTTTAATGCTTAAATATAATGTAAAAACATCTAAAAAACATAGTTTTAGTTGCAGATTTCTTTAAAATAGATTAGTTTAAAAAATATTTCTTTTAATTCCTATCTGCGAGTTTACTCAACCGCTTAAGTGGTTATTATTTCTAATCTTTATTTACTGCAATCAAGTGATCAAGACTTAATTTACCTCCGCGCTGCACTCGGGCGATGAAACCTCTTGGCAACTTCTTCAATTAAGCCTCCAGCGATCGATCGAGACATACCTCCGGCTGCAGTGCATCTCCATTTGCTGCCGTGGAGCGATTACGCACGAAATGTGGCCAGGGAGAGCGGAGAGTGGGACTCGATAAGTGGGGGATCTGTGGAGAGGAGATCTCCTCCAGAGGTCTTGTGCCTTGTGTGCCAGTGCCACCCAAATGGTCAAGTGATCGTTGGACTATGGCGCGAACGGACGCGATCGGTAATCGAATTAGGTAAACAAACACTCCATGAGGCGGGCGTACGTTGATAATGTGTGTGCATAAGCAAATGGGAGACGACGGCATTCTCTGGGAGGAGCGGAGGACCTGGCCGAGATTGCGGCGGCGGCGATGACGGGCGAAAAAGTTAAATGAAATTTCATTTAGGTGGTCGCCAACGGCTGCGGAGACCATCTGCTCTGTGTGAATGCTTGATTGTTGAAGTGCCACTTGATGGGGCGCGAGGGCGCACGCTACTCGCCAGGGCTTAACACTGAGAGAAAATGCAATTATAATTTGTTAGGAAATTAATGGATTTTTAGTTTATAAGATTGTCCTGGATTTACTTAGAATTTTAATAGATTTCTTTGATAAAAGGTCTTAACAAAACCCTAGTAAGATCCTTAAACAACATGTACTTAAAACCATAAACTTTAAGAATGTTTTTAAAGGAAATAATATATACATATAATATTCTACCTATTAAAACCCCATTTACCCTCTTTTTCTCAACGTGCAGCGATCGGTATCCAGATCTTATTTACTTAGTAAATTATTCCTGTTCGATTGTTTGCGTTTGCTCTGGATCTCTGGCATGAGGGCACTCGAACGTCATCGTCAGCACGGTTCATTCATGCTTTGCCTTTCACAAATCGGAATCGGAGATATATATGCATAAACATATAAAGGTATCTGCAGCATTGTGCACTTTGCATTCGAACAGACAAATAAATACAAATGCAGTTCTGATCAGCTTAGTGAGACATCTCATTATCGCCAGGTGAGTTCTACATAGCCGGATTTCTTTTCTGTGATTTCTTGTGATTTCTTATGATTTCTCTGCGACTCTTTCCCATCCCGGAATCGTTTCGGGTAATTGCTTTTTAACTCGGCATTCAGCATTCAGCTTTCAGCTTTCAACTTCACATTCTCCGCAGCGCCGGGAGCCACTCGTCAATTCGTGGGCTTTGATGCAATTTGGCTTCTGTGTAAGCCACTCTGCCATTTGGAGGCATCCATCTCATGCACCTCCTTCCCCTCGTCGTGTCCTGTGTGGCGCACTGATCACGCCATGTGTAGTTTAGTTGCAGTTTCGATTCACATCGGATTGCCTTGCCCAGGCAGCGCATCAATCATCCATCACGCACCGTCAGAGACAACGACCCAGAGGAAGAGAGCTCAGAATAAACCGGAATGCAAAACCCATTATCCAAGGTTGCTCCACGGATTTGATGGCGTTTCAATCTTGGTTGCAGTTCGGATATTTAGCGAATCATGGTGTATTTAGCACTAATAAAAGATATAAAAATATGTATTATTTTGATTTTGATCTTTTGGCGGATGAAACCGTAAGCCTCCTGTATTGGTTTTCATAATGTAATCAATAATCTATCATTAGTGGTAGACTTTCAAAAACATCGATATATCTGTCATAAACAGTTGTTATTAGCATTAATTAGACACTTTTAATCGCTATAAACTTGCCACAAAATGGACGATGCTATCAAAATAAATCGTTAACAATAATTTGTTTATTTGGGAAAGCGATGCCTCTTCTGTAATATTCTCGGAACCCCAAATCTTGATTTTTGTGGATGGTGGTAGATCAATAATATTATATTAAATATGTCTTTTTTTTTATTATATTTAAGGGATCGAAAAGGCTTCCATCTTTTTTTTACCCTTGCAGTGTATTATTATTTTAGTTAGAATCTGACATTAAGGACCTTATAAACTAATCTTTTGAATCACCATCAGCCGATCTAGCCATGTCCGCTAAAATAAATAATTTTACCCATATTTTCAAAATTTTATAATATAATAAAATTAAAACAAGAAAGAAAGCTAACTTTGGCCAGCCAAAGTTTGTATACAAGTTTGTATAAAATATATCATAACTAAGCCAAAAATGCATTAATTACGATTCGGAAAGCAGTTTTGTGTTAGTTTTTATTAATTTAAAAAAACGGCATACCAAATTTAAAATTTGAAGAAATCAAAATTTTTGGTCATTTTTGCTAATTTTAATGATGTAACCCCTTATCAAATTTCGCAAAAATGGCCAAAAAATCGATTTCTTCCTGGCATATCTAGAAAGATTCCCCTGTTGATGCTGATCAAGAATATATATGGTTTATGGGGTCGAAAATGATTCCTTGACTTAGAAAAATATTATTTTGTATTATAAAATCGGATTTTTTATATTAAAAAACTTCTTGATTTTTTTTAAATTAAAAATATCATAACTCGACCAAAAGAGCATTAATTTTAAATCGGAAAACTGTTCTGTGCAAGATTTTCTACAGTTAATAAATCTGCATACTTCATTTAAAAATTTTAAAAATTCAATTTTTTTTTTAAATCATAAACTTTGGAAGGTCTCCTTCACTGCGTTGCAAACTTTTGACTGAAATTAGAATACCCTGCAAGGGTGGGTATAAATATTGTATCACAAAATTCAAAAAAAAAAAAAAAAAAAAAAAAAATACAACAAAGTTTTATTGCTGAAGTCATTAGATCAATAATTGTTAATATCAATATGAAGATAAATTCTAGCCTAGAAAAACTAAACTGAAATTCCACGGAAATTAAAAAAAAAAAAATTATGTCAATTTACCAAAATTGTAAAAGGGGTATTATTAGTAAAATTCTAAAAAAAAGTAATGATAAAATTTTTAAATTAACAAAAATAAAATTAAACAATGATAATAAAAATGGTTAATATTTAAGTTTAATACGCTTATTAGAAAATCCTAAGCTAGCTCCTTTTTCTATTGATGAATGCATGGTATTAGTTTAATACCTTTCTAAGAATAAATTAAAATGGTTTTCATAAATAAAAAATATTAAAATATTTATAAAATATATTATGTTGAATAAAGTGCCGTAGCAATCCCATTTTGCGTGGGGGCAAGTAGTTTGGATTATATTTATATATTACGTATACGTACATACCTTATATGCCCTAGGTGGCTAAGCCACTGGTTGAATAAGAAAATAAAAATTTTATATTATGCATCTGAGCATTCTTGATAAAAAACAGTAATAGTAACAATAAGTAAATGTAAAATTGATTTCAAATAACTATGTATGTACATCGGGGTCGTGGTTTTACGGTACAGAATCTAAAACTGAAAAATATAAATCCAGCATGTTGCATTAATGATCCAAAATGAATGCCATCAATTATTGTGGTAAATTGGGAATTAGCTGCACTTAAAGGTTGAATTCTAACGCCCAGTGTCCAAAGTTGATTAGTTGTAATTCCAAAAACAAAGTCGCGGTCCGCGGCTTCCCCAGTTCTTCTTCCTCTGCTCCCCTTTTGGCGCTTCTTCCAACTCTCTCTCTCTTTCTCTCTCTTTCTCCCCCCACACTGTCTGCTCTCTTCCTCTCGCTTGTGTTTATACTTAGCGCAGTGCCAACGAGTTTATAATTGTTTGATTTGTGTGCGCGCACACAGGCAGTGTAAGTCGGTGCATATAGTCGTCCCGCTCGCACCTGGGCCAGAGCGAGAGGCAGCCAGCGGACGCGCAACGGCCGCCATTATGAATGTGCGACATCCGCAAACCGGTTGGCGGCTTTCCAAAACTCACTCGTTCATTGAGTGGAAACAAGTGGCGAGTGGAGTGGAGCGACCTGGCTGAAACACAAGCAGCGCTCATTGTGCTGAGACAGCTTTCGGCGTGAACAACGTTCCAACGGCTCCGCTCCGTCGAAAAATAATTGAAATAAAAAAGTAAAAAAAGAACAGGAGCGTTTTCTAACTGTTTCTGTCGGGATCGGTACCTCTCTGTGCATTTGTGTGTGTGTGTGTGTGTGCCTGTGAGCTATGAATCCAATTGACCGCATTGCGTTGCCATTTCCGTTTCCGGTCACAAACGTTAGTTCTTCGTCGTCGTCTCCTGCTTCTTCTCCGTTGGATGTGCGACATCTGTGACTGTGATTGTGACTGTTTAGTAACTGCTTTCGCGTGTGTTCGCAAAAGAGCGATTGACAACCAGATAATAAATCCTAAATAACAATAGAGGCGAAATCGATTAGCGCGATTAACAGACATGTTGATTGAGCCGACTTTAAACCGTGACCTTGGCTCGCTTACTGTCGCTAACTCTGGCCTCTCGGCCGCGCACTGGAAAATGGAGCCCCATCCGCAGCAACGCATCACCTCGCTGGCCCCGCACCCCGCCTCCAGCGGTGAGTACTACTTAGTTCGAGAGCCTTAAAAGGGCAAGCGCACCTGACCAACTACTTACTACCTGGCCTTAATTAGCCGACGGCAAGCGGGGCGCAACAAAAGACAGCAAATTATTTGTGTTTCTAGTGAAAAAAGGAATGGAAAATTATTTCTAATATTGAAAATAAATCATAAAGGGAATATAGGTGATCATCAATGTGCTAAAACTAAGGAAGTTTAATTATTTTTGGAAAAACCATTAAGTTTTACTGCATAAGACAACTTTAAGTTAAAAATTACTAAATTATACTATTTTTTATTGTATTACTTAGTGCAGAATCTTAAAAGTTTCTATATTTTTTAAATACTACTTAAGTGATACATTTTTTGGAAACTTAATTTTATGGGGAAAAATGGCCAAAAACATAATTATCTTATAAAATTAAACCGTAAAACCGCAAAACTGACACAGTTTTGGTTTATATTTTATTTACATATTAATCCATTGACAGAAACTAAATAATTCATAAATAATTAAACCAAGAACTTAATTGTACGAGATAAAATTACATTTAAATATGTAATGAATTCATAAAGAGGAATTACCATGATGTAAATTATAATTATTAACATAAAAAATAAAAAAACGTTTAAATATCAATAAATTAGTTTATATTTCCACAACAACATGCATGTTTTTAAAAGGAATTATTATTTTGATATCTGTATACTGTTCTTATAATCATATAATTGTTGATACCACATTTGCATCATAAAGAAAATTATTACAAAGGATTTGCTTTTATTGTTGATTAATTTCCTGTATATTCTGTTCCTTTCTGTTATATTCAGATACTTTTCAATCAATATTGCCTAATATTGTGAATTTAATTACGTAAAACTCCAGGAAATGTTAACGGCTTATATTTACTTTTCAATCAGTATTGCCAAATATTTTGAATTTAATTACGTAAAACTCTAGGAAATGTTAGCGGCTTATTTTATAATTAATTTATAATTACTACATCGAAGTACCGCCGTACTAAATACTACATTTTACCCAGCTAATCATAGGCTTTGTCTCATTAGAACCCTGCTAACCAAAGGCTATTAAAACTAACCATATATTATTACACAGAGACGCTTAAAATCGTAGTTAATGTTATTCCATCCTTTTCTGCTTGCTTAAATGTATAATCTCATTAAACACAAACCCAACTCGGATGTCATAATATCGAGTGCGTGGCTCCAGTTGCCAGCAGCAGCCCCAATTTCCCTGCTTTTCACCTTTCTGTCCCCCATAGAGGGAAAGGTAAACAAAACTGGTTCGCATTTGATGGGAGCGGCAGCGGCACAATTGATTAGGGGCCTCAATATACATCTATATAGGCAGTTAGGGACGAGACGTGGTGCGCGTATTTTTTAAAAAATATTTACCCGGCAAACAACAAAAGTGAAACGCGCATTTAAAACGCTAATTGACAATTTGAGCGACGAGGTTGCTGCTTAAGCCGAATAATGATATATGTACATATGTTTTCATTGTTCCTCTCTTAATTTTATATTTTTTATTTCCAAGTGAAAGCAAATAAGCGCCGATATTCTGTCGAATTAACGTAATACACAACACTCTCTGCCCCAGCTGAGTACATATATTAATTTTAGGCTTTTGTGCTCGTGCCCGCCGTTTCAATTAGCTTCAATAAATCCAATCCCCGCGACAGGAGATACGCTTGCGTGTCGCCGCCATTTTGGCAATCGATTGTATATAGTATACTGTTTGTGTAGTATATAGCCATCAGTCATTCCAGATCAGTCAACACAATTAACGGTTAATTTATCATAATTAACCATTGTGGCCTGGACGTTACGGGATGGGGCGGACGGGTCTTGACAGCCAGCTAAAGCCACAATATAATGACAATGGCCAATTATCATTCAATTCGTTCAATTCGCAGTAGCAGCGGCATCCGTGGCAGCAGCAGCAGCCGCAGCAGTGGCAGCGGCAGCGGGATCGGTATCGGTATCCGGACCGGGATCGGGGGCCTCCACATCGCCCACATCTGTGCAAATACCGCCCGGCTTTGGCGGCACCGCCGGTGCACCGCCAGCTGGATCGACGGGGAGCAGCACCCTCAACACTCTGATGTCGCAACACCGCCTCCTGGAGTTCTCCCGCTTTGGCGGTCTGCGGGGATACGACATTGCCCAGCACATGCTCACGCAGCAGGGCGCTGTCTCCAAGTTGCTAGGTGAGTACACTACATCACATCCCTCTTTGCACGGACCCTACATCGGAGATAACTAATGGGCACTTTGTTTTCGATTTGTTTGCTAATTTTTATGATAAACATGTTATTATCCTGCGACTGCCAGTTCGAGTTCGGGTTTCCCCCTTGTTCTCGTGTGCGCAGCCGTGTAATTTAGCCACTTAAAATTGCATAAACTCCTGGGCTGCGGCGGTGGCCAAAACGCGGCTGGCTCATTAATCAAAATGCGGCTTATTCGCCGGCTTGTTCGGGATCAAGGGGGGTTGGTCTTGGTGCGTGCTCTTGTTGCACTAAGAAAAATTTAGGTTTTAAACGGGATAATGCTAAGGAAAGCGAAGAGAAGGAATAGCAGTTGGATTAATACATATTAACAATTATAAAAGGAGTCTCTTGGGTTTTTATAATATTTCATTTAATTTCTTAACTCAGTTTTCTATGGGGAAAACATATTTAACATATTTATTATTAGTTAGGCAACTAACTATAAATATTATCAGTTTAGTACTGAGCTCAATCTTCTCCTTAAATCGAAGGATTTATCTTAGTTAATAAACATTTATTCATCCCTTCGAATTCTGCGAGAAATCTCCCCCTTTTCTCAGTGCAGTCTTTACCCTCTTATTTCCCTTCCATCACACTTCACTTTGATGTGGCAAAACTGATAAAGATATTAAAAACAAGGGGATAAGCCAGGTTAAAGATGTTCAAAACACCAAGATGGATTGCCGAAAATCGCAGCTCACAGACTGCCATAAATCGATTGTCTCATAATTTTCCCTCTGCGCTCTGCTCTAATTTTTTCTTGCAGGCTCACTGCGACCACCGGGCTTAATTGGTGGCTCAAAGCCCAAGGTGGCCACGCCGACGGTCGTCTCCAAGATCGAGCAGTACAAGCGCGAGAACCCAACGATCTTTGCCTGGGAGATACGCGAGCGTCTGATCTCCGAAGGTGAGTAGCAGTTGGATGGCAAAGAGACCAGAGATATAATTGGAGCTAATCCGGATCACTGATTGATCGGCGGCCGCTTTTAGCTTTTATCTCGACATCTCTCTGACTCGATCCGGTTGGTAATTTGTGCCTTGTAATCCCGCCTTGCAGGTGTCTGCACCAACGCCACCGCTCCCTCGGTGAGCAGCATCAATCGCATCCTGCGCAACCGCGCCGCCGAGCGGGTGGCCAGCGAGTTTGCCCGCACCGCCGCCTACGGGCTCTATCCGCCGCCCCCGCATCCTTATGGCAGCTTCACCTGGCATCCGGCCGGCCAAGTGCCCGGTGGCCAGGCGGTTCCACCGCCGCCACCCCCATCCGCATTGTGGTCTGTGGCTGCTCCCACACTAGCGAATCTGCCGCCCAGTGCGGCGAGTGCGGTGCCATCGCCTGGCTGTGGATCCCTTAGCTCGGCTCATCTCATGGCAGGTGGTGGTGCTGGTGGCGCTGGAGGTTTAGGAGGAGTACCCTCGAGCAGGGCCATTTCACCAGGCTCCGGCAGCCACGACACTTTGGAATCGGCGGACGAGAACAGGCACATCGATTCGGATTATCTGGACGATGATGATGAGCCCAAGTTTCGGCGGAACAGGACCACTTTCAGTCCGGAGCAGCTGGAGGAGCTGGAGAAGGAGTTTGACAAGTCGCACTATCCCTGTGTGAGCACCAGGGAGAGGCTTTCGAGCCGCACCAGCCTGAGTGAGGCCAGGGTTCAGGTGAGCAGAAGAAATTATATTTTTGAAATTTTAATTTTAAGTGAAACCTATTTAAGAGCTTTTTATGCTTTCAATATTTTCTATTACCTTCATTGTCAACCTGGAATTCCTTCCTTCTTTCGTCAACAGGTTTGGTTCTCGAATCGGCGAGCCAAGTGGCGTCGCCACCAGCGCATGAATCTCCTAAAGCGCCAGCGCTCCAGTCCCGCGAATCCCCTGCACTCGCAGCAGTCCAACGATGCTCCAGCGAGTTCGCCCACGCCTAGTAATCATAGCAGTGCCTCCGCCTCGACTTCAGTGGCTCCTGCTCCGCCTCCCCAGCAACCGTTGCAGCTCTGCCCCTCGGATCACTCGCCGCAGGCTCCACCACCCTCGGTGATGCTGCATCCATTGCATCCAGGACCTCCCGGTGGGGGCCACCATCACCATCATCCCCTGCACCTACCCACGCATCCGGCGGCTCTGCAGCTCCTGAGTCACTATCACCAGCAGCAGCAACATCAGCAGCAGCAGCAGCAACTCTCGCCCACGGGCTGCAATCCTGGGGCAAGCCACCTGACAATGGGCGGGGAAAGGAGTGCCTTCCGCAGCCTGGTCAGCTCGCCCTCGGCAGCTGCCTTCCTCGGCTTAGCCAGACAGTATGCCGTGGCCGCTTCTCTGACGGTGGCCGAGGAGCAGCGATCCCGTTTGCACTACTCCGCCGGCGTTGGACTAAGTGGAGCTGCCGTGGCTGCTGGAGCAGAGGGAGCAGGATCGGGCAGCGGCTTAACTGGTGGAGGCTCAACCATGACGGTGGACAACTCATCGTCCGACTCGGATGAGGAGATCAACGTACACGACGATTCGGACGCTGAAATCGAATCGCCGGCGGCAACGGCGGCAAAGGTGGCCCGCCTGTCATCCTCCGATGCGCCGACGACGCTGCAGTTCCTAAAGCATGACCGCTAGAGAGAGATGTCGATGTGGATATAGATGTGAATAAGTAGATGTACACGGGGCTATGGATGTGGACGTGAACGTGGCGGCGACATCTAATTGAAAACTTGAGTTGTGCGCGCCTCTGTGATTGACAGCAACAGCAGTTGAAATTGCAACTCCGCGGCACCAACTACTGGGGACTGGGATGGGTCGGAGGGCGGTGCGTGTTTGGGTAGTGAAACACGAGAAGCGGCTACATTGTGGGCAAAACAAATCGAAAAACCAAAGTTAAAATGCTGCTCACCTACTTGGCTGCGGTCCGGGGAAGCTGGAAGCATCAGCAGCAGCGAAAATAGCAAAAAATAACACTGACCAGCAAGGGTTTTGGGGCAAGAATGGGAAGTACTTTTATTTTACAAGATTTTGGTGTTAAAAAATTTAGCTATTACTTTGAATTTTCAATATTAAAAAGGGGTTACAAATAAATTACCAAATTTGAACAAGTTTTTCTTTCAACTCAACTACTTCATTCAATCTGGGCTTAAAAAGATCCACAACAAAAAAATTTTTTAAATTGGAAAATTCATTTTTTTAAATTCCAAAATGACAAATGAAATTTTTTTATTAAATTTTAAAACATTTAAAATAGAATAATAAACCCTTTAAAACCAGATTCCAGTTTAGCATCAAAAAAAGTACTTCTTACTTGCCTCTAAAATTAGTTTAAAACCTGCTGGCCAGTGTAATGGGCGGCATTTGTTTGTGGACACGCTTAAGATTAGCTGAAATTGTAACTAATACTACGTACGACACACGCTTGTCCCATTTTAATGCACATATCTCTATCCCAACTGAACACGAACACGAATCCGCATACGTACGTACCCTCGAGTTATGCATAATTATTATTATATTTGTTCATTCGCCGGCTGCCGACTGCCGACTTACCTCATCACCATTTAAGGCTATAGCATATGCAATATCTCTATATATGTAACTCTAACTCTAACTCCTAGACCTAGCCTAAGCCTAAGCCTAAGCTATCTATTTATGAAATGCGTATTACGTAAGAATTTTGGTTGCGTTCGAACTGATACTTTGTAGAGTATTGTAAGTGTTTGGCTCAAATCATAAACACAAATCAAAGAAAAACCAACTCCACACGAGTGAGAAACCAATAAAAAGTGCAAGAAATATAAATACAATATATAAATCAATTTGTGTGTTTTGCTTTCTTTTGAGAACCAGGAAATTGCTTTGGTTTTGACAACAAATACAATTTATTCGTTCGATTTCACGCATAATTATCCATTCTAAAACAGTGACGGAGACAAAACACGGCCGGCCGACGGGCATAAATAAGCATTTAACACTCGAAAGCTTCTTAAAACGTTATTAAATATTAATATAATCAATATTCATTGTGTGTGAGAGACCGAGGGGACGGACCAGTAGAAATGCCGAACGAAATCGAAATCGAAATCGAAAACCAAAATACGCGCATAGAAATCGCTTAAATTTCGAACGTAATGGCCAATATGTCCAAATCTGGTAGATAACATCGACATTTTAATTATAACCAAATGAAGCCGCGCCGAACGGGAGGAGGAGATGACGGTATAATGTGGAATGGTAAAGGTAAAGGCATAAGCATGGGCAAAGGTATCCAACTGACCGATTAAAAATGCCGAGCCAAACTAAGCACATAAATCAATGTAAATTATGGTGTTAACAAAAGGCGAGCCGAGCGCGCTCAAATCGCAGGCTTTGGATGGGATCGAATCGGATCGGATCGGATCGTTGACTTTTTTAGGTTGGAACCAGGTGGATGAGAGGCTCTCTGCCTGGCCTGCGAGGCCGGGATTTAAATGAGTTGGACCTTCGCATCTGATAAGAGGAGCAGCGTGGAGCTCTTTCGTGTCGATACTTACAACTCCAGGTTGGTATTCGGGATCGGGAGTGTGAAGATCGGGTGACGGTGCCCCGAACAAATTCAATTTGCTTGGCTTTTTATGAGCAAATGGCTGCCCCCATCCCCATCCCCAACACATCCCCATACCCATTCCCATTCCCATTCCCGATCTCGACTTATTCTAATTTAGTGCGGAGCTGCTCGTGAGCATTCCTTTAATAAATTTAAATCACCTTCTATTGAAAAATATTTTCACCTCGCGCCCATAAATTATACATTATACGATATTTATACAGTCCGAGGGGTACAAAATATATATGTATACGAGTTTGTGCTTATTTTTATTTTTTGGTTTGGGTTCACGGGTATTCAGTGGTTTCGTTTAGGTTTCAGTTTTGATTCCATCGAGCGTCTTCTTATTTTTTTTTGGCAAAGATTGGCAGGAGGAAAGGCCTGTTGAACTTGATGGACCTGGGTCTAAAGTGGCGCTCACATGAGCGCCATATAATCGCAGTCAAACATTTTTACGATCTCCAGCCTACACAGCATCTCATCCGAGCTGATCAGTTGGCCACTTGATGAGTCCCGTCGTGTCCTGGAGAGAGATTGTCCGGGCAACATTGTTGCCAAATGTTTTGTGGCCCGCCGTTGGCTCTGAGCAGTTTTTATGGTTTCGGTTGGCGGAAATCGATGAACTTTACCAAGGCTCCATCTATCCTGATCCATCTGTGCACTGTAAAAAAAAGAGGGGAGTCTAGGAAAATTAGAAGGAAGGGGATTTTTTAGGGTTAAGGGTTTTTGAAGTATTTTTAATGTTTTTTTAAGGATAGAAATAAATAATAAAAGCCTTGGAAAATAGGTTAATATAGTCCCTACTACTTAAAATCCCTTAAAATTGCATTTCTTGGAAGATTTCAAAGTTCCCTTTATTAACTAAGAGATATAAAAATAATTTTAAAGAAATATATACCCATTGTCTCCATCTTTCTTAAATTTAAATTTATATTAAAATCATACCTGTTCTTTAGCTTTTTATATTTATAACTGTTTTCCTAGTATTAAATTTTTAGAAAGGTATAACAAGTAACTTGTTAAAAAAAGGAAGAAACTGCATTTTAAATTAACATTTATTGATAAGTTTAATATAATTAAAACCATTTCAGTAATGATAAGTTTATTGTACTTAAATTAATATATTTTAAAGCTTAGAATTTTAGCGTGACAACTAATGGGTTTGCCAGAATCAAGACAAAAGTATTGATTTAAATTTAAGGTTTTTTCTGTTTTGTTTATAGTTTTCTATTTTATTTAACTTACTTAATATGTAACAAACTAATTAAATACTGTTCTCGGTTCCACATTTTATTCACTGTGCACTCTGCTGCCGATGTGAGACTCCTTGGGTAAGGAGCCGGTGATAAATCTGTTGGCGAGCCGGCGCAACATTGCCATTGCATACTTCTAAATGGACCATAAACGTGCGAAGTCGCAACACCAGCAATAACTAAAGTTAGTTACGTTTACTAATATGACAACAATGTTGTCTGAGGCCCTTTCGCCTCCCTAGCCCCGTCTCCTAGCCCCTTGTTGATGCAAATGTGAGCGAACCAGACCCAGGCCGAATATCATTCCCAGATTGTGAATGGGTGTCGTTATTCCGCCATTATGTTTACGGCTTGCAAAAACAAATACGTCAAATGCGCGAGGCACAGACTCCCTGGGCACCTCCTCCCTAACCCTCTCGTCCCCCGGCAATCAAACACGCAAAAGCAATTAAGTCGCGCGGACCCATGGTTTAAGGGATCTGCAATTATAGTATACATTTTTAGAGTCTCGGAAATTGTTGCTAAATAAGTACAACAACATTTTCGAAAAATAGTAAATAGAAATAAACAGATGTCTGCCGGCTACCGATAATTTGAAATGACTTGGCTTTGAAGTAGCCGGGGATTTACACCTGCTATTTACAGTACGTCAAGGTGTTTTAAAGGTAATTACAAATATTCAATTTATTTTGAATTGTATATTAGGAAAATGGGAAATTCTATAGAAAATTTATAATTTAAATATATAAGATACATTATAGGTCAGGCGTTGTGGCAAAAATCTCTTTTATATTGATTAAACTGAAGCCTAGATTAACGTTTGCAAGGAGCTTAAGGCCTTAAAAAATTAAAATAGGTAGAGAAAGTATTTTATTTTTTAATGATTCAATTAAATTTATAACTAAAATTAAAATTTAAGAGCTTAGAAAAAGACAAATATTATATGTTTAATTTATTTTCAGTTTTGTTTTGTGTGTAGATACTATAAATTACTACAACTTAATTTTAAAAGGAGCTAAAAATTTTTTTAAATTAGAATTGTAATCAAAACTGGCTCCAATGATATACAAAATGTATATCCCCTTTTCTATTATAAATGTTTTATTTATGTTCGTTGCTGGTAAGGATTTATACGAATTCTTGGCCCAGAACTAAGTTTCGCTCTTTAAACTCATTTAAGCAACAAATTGCTTATCGGTCTTCTATATATCCCTAGGTATGTCTGTCTGTGAAACATGTTCGAATGATATTGAAATACGTGAGAGAGTCTTGCCGACCATTCGACTGATTTATGTCCAAACTTAAATGGTCACAATGGCGATTCGGATGACCCGGCCCCAGGTATTCCCCTGGGTTCCGCTCTCTGTCTCTCTGTTAATGAGCCGAGCGATTAAAAAATGTGCATTTGTGTTTGTCCGCTCCTTAAATGAGCTCGAGCTTTTAACGCGCTGCCATAGATCAGAGGGGTTACGGAAGGGTTACGGCTATGGGGAACGGATTCCAGGGGCGGGGACGAAGTGATTTTGTCTCGTTGTCATCTCATTTGGAATTGGGCGATAAGACAAATTTGTTTTCTTTGTTTATAACTTTATGCAGATACAGGTTTCGGTTTCGAATGCGCTCCTCCAACGGGCATCTCTCCGAGACTCATTTCGGATCCCCAAAACTCAACCTTCTGTATAAAATCTAAAAAAAAAAACTTTACTGGCAAACCTCAGATGAACAGTGGGTTTTAATTGGAAATAATTGTATTATAAAATATGTAGAGCTTGGGTTAAATATTGAATTTATTAAATAATTTTACGCTAGCATTTGTTAACAACTTTATTGAAATTTTTGTTCATACAAATATGACACTGTAACAAAAATGTATTAACGTGTTTATGACACTATAGCAAAATTTGTATTAAAGTAATAACGGCACTAGCAAAACTTTTATTTCTATTTTTGGTTCTATTGAGTTAAAAAATTAAATTAGTATTAATTAAATTATTATTATGGTTATCATGCTAACACTTACATAAAGCTTAAAATCAGTGTCATAACTGCTATACAATTTTTGATAACATATTGAAACCAAAATGGTTTTTAATATTAAATAAATAAAAAAACTAATTTTTACTGTAATTTTTGCTTTTTTGAAACACCTCAATATTTTATTTTATTTCCCAAAACTCACCAACTTGAAACCACTGTTCAGGGGTTTTGGGAATAGAGTTGGTATATTTAATCTTTGTCGCCTCGCAAGTTAGCCTCTCAAGTCCCCGGCCGGGGCAACAACAAAAGTGGAATTCTGAACATTGATTTGAATTTTGAATCGAAACGTCTTCGACTTGGACTACGACTTCGTCTCCGTCTTGGTTGTTTTTATTTTATTTGGCTGCGGCGGCAGCTGCCGCTGCTGACATCTTCATTAACGAGGAGTGTGATCAAAAGAGTAATGAGGTGTTGATAGTGGCCGAAAGCGAGGAGGCTTTATGCATTCCCCGTGGATTAATTAGGAACAATGCCGGGGATTGAGGAACGAGCCAACGAACGGCAGCCCCCGGATCGCCAGAAGTTGTTCTAGTATGTCCCCACTGGTAATTGTGGGCCTCTTGTGTCCAACGGCCTTTGAAGTCTTTATTTCAGATCTTTGAAATCTCTCCACCGATTCTCTTCGATTTTGAGTCTGTGTACCCTCTGAGTTTTGGACTCTAATTCCGATTCTTGTTCGTGCTCGAACTCGTATTCAACGCAGCTGGGGCCTTTGTTCTGCTTGGATAATTTGCATATGATAAATCTGCTTCCATATTTTGTTAAATTGCTGTGCGGGTTTTCTCCTGGCTGCCTGACTGGCCAAAAAGCATTGGCGCGTGGTAAATTGGTTGTATTGTAAGGCATCTAATTAGTGGCCGGCTACCGAATTATGACCAATTATAACTATTGATTGATTGTGGGCTATAA